ACAGGTAACTAACACATCACATCTTATCAAATCTAAAAATACACTTTAAAGACCTGATTATTTTTCACTATACTGAATGCAGGTTACCAGACATGAAGTGTGTTACCTAAAAATCAGTTTACAAGGCATTACTGTAGATGTGCAATAGACATAATTCTTTTAATCCTTAAATTTTTTTTTTTTTTTTTTTTTCTTAGTTTTGTTTCAGGAATAGTTTCCCTGTACTACAAGAGTGATAGTGAAGTTGAACAGGACTCAGAACTTCAGGCGTGGATTAATGATGTGGCTGTGGAGGGCTTTGTGGATGTGCCTCATTTTGGTAAGATATGAATAGCCTACATGACTGCATCACTGGACTCACAAATGTCCTGTAGTGGATAAAGGACCCTGTGCAGTGTATTTATTTAGGCTTAACAATAGGGGTGTCGAAATTAATCGTTGTATCGCGATGCGGACGTGGACAATTCTGCATCGATGCAGTAATAGACCATAAAAAAAGAAAAAAACCATAACTATGATTGTCTGTAAACTTTCGAATACTTGAAGCACTGCTTTTTGTTTATCACTTGTAATTGTCTCTTTTCCCCCCTTTATTACTTTATATTTTCTTGTATGTTTTGAAGATATATTTACTTTGTTTAATTCTTAACAATAATTAATTAATTATTAAGAATGAATATATTAATTAACGTAATTATTTTAAAAAGTTGCCTGCTTATATAATTTAATAAAAATGCACAAAATAAATTTGATATAATCATGATGCATCGTGATATCGAACTGAATCGAATCGTTGACATGATAATCGTAATTGAATTGAATTGTGAAACCAGTGCCGATTCACACCCCTACTTAACAATATACACTACAGTTTGAAAGGTTGTGGTCAGTACCTTGTCTTTAAAAGAAATGAATACTTTTATTTTGAAGGATGCATTAAATTGAGCAAAAGTGAAAGTAAAGACATTTATAATGTTACAAATGATTTCTGTTTCAAATAAATGCTGTCCTTTTACATTTTTATTTAATTAAAGAATCCTGAAAAAATGTATTTCGGTTTCCACAAAAATATTAAGCAGCACAACTGTTTTTAAAAATGGACAATTATAAGTGTTCCTTGAGCATCAAATCATTTTGAAGGATCATGTGACACGGTGTAGACCAAAGTAATGGCTGTTGAAAATTCAGCTTTGCCATCACATGAATAAATTAAATTTAAAATATATATACAAATAGAAAACAGTTATTTTGAAATTGCAATAATATTTCACAATATTACTGTATTTTTGATCAAATAAGTGTAGCATAAGAGACTATTTTGGTGGGCACAGGAGACTTCTTTCAAAAAATATTTTTATCAATCTTGCCAACCCTAACATTTTGGATGGTAATATGAATCATCCAATACAATACACAAATACAGGTCACCGATATTGCATTTTAAAAAGGTCAAAAGACATCAGTGGGATAAATACACATGCTGCAGTCAAAATAAAACAGGAAAGGAAGTAATAAAGAACATAAAGAATTATAATACAGTGACCCCTTGTGGTCACTAGGGGAAGAAACATGTCCATAGTATGTGTCTCATCACAATGAACTACATGAGCTGTTTGCCTTGTGCTTTTGTGTGATGGAACTGAATATAGAGAAAAAAGAACGAGAATGAGCTAAATAAATGGCACTTGAAATTGAATCTTAGGAATAACTATTCATGTTTCTTGCATGTCAGGCCTAGCCAGTGAGCTGAAGACAAAAGAAGAACTCATCACACTGTTAAGCGTGGTGATCTTTACCAGCACAGCACAACATGCTGCCACCAACAATGGACAGGTAACTAACACATCACATCTTATCAAATCTAAAAATACACTTTAAAGACCTGATTATTTTTCACTATACTGAATGCAGGTTACCAGACATGAAGTGTGTTACCTAAAAATCAGTTTACAAGGCATTACATAGCTTTATTGTGATCACTGTTGCTCTCCCTCTCTGTACTGTAGTTTGATTGGTGTGCATGGGTTCCCAATACACCCTGCACCATGCGGCACCCTCCACCAACAGACAAGGATGCTGTCACCATGGGCATGATCATGGACACCCTCCCTGATATCAGCCAGTCCTGTGTGCAGATGGCCATCACATGGCATTTGGGCAGAGCACAGCCGGATGCGGTGGGTCAATAGCACAGGCCGTCACAAGTGTGCTTTTATATTACTTATGCTCGTATAAGTACAATATAATCCATATTTATAAGTAACATCAGACTATATCCATCCAAAAGAAATTTCTTTCCATGAAGCATTAAGATTAATTAGCCTTTAACAGATTATCACAATGATGACTTTAACAGTTCGGTTTCCTCTCTTTCCTTCAGATCCCAATGGGCCAGTATGTGGAACAGTACTTTACTGAGCCTGCTGCTTTGAGGGTGATTGATAAATTCAGAAAGGAGCTGAAAGAACTGGAGGAGCAGATAATAGCTCAGAATGAGGGACTGGAACTGCAGTACCTCTATCTGTGCCCAAGCCGTATGGAAAATAGCATCACCATTTAAAGAAAACTCTCATTCTAAATTTATGTGTATGTGCATCTGTGAGAATTTTCCTGAGTAGGTCAGCTAAATCTTAAAGTTAGCACACATTCAAATTACACCCAAAGTGCCTTTCCTAGCTATAGCTGAAACCTATGCCTTTCTCAGGAATGACAGCAGAAATACTGTGTAACAGTTTTTAAAGAATTAATGCATTAAGTTGTTTTTTTTACCTTCAATTTCATGGTTTTTTTTTCTTTTGAAAATAGTTAAAACATTAAAAAAATAAACTTTATGTCAGAAGTCACTGTTTTGAGTGGTGCTGAACTATTGCTTAATAAATGTCATCAGCCTTACAATATGCACTTCATAAGTACTGCATATATAGCCCGTTCTTCTTCCAGATGAGGACGATGAAACATGCATTACTACTATACATTTACCTATAGCTGTATAAAAAAAACAGGCATTGTACAGATACTTTCCATAGCAAATAAAGTCTGTTTCGTTATTTCATATTGAATTTTTTAATACCATTTAACCTTCAGTACTTACACATGAGAGGATTTGTTTAGTTTCCAGTTATTCACCTAAAATTTTAGAACCAGACAGTTTTTGACAGAGACAAGGTCTACACTTATCTATTCCTATAGTGACATACTTCTTAGGCAAAATCTTGAGTCATTTATTGTGACAACAGAACCAATGTGACCATGTAAAATTCCATTCAACATTTACTTAATGAGACTGAATATATGATAGGTATTTAAGTATAAATAAAATCACAATTAAATCATTTATTTACATTTGGTTGGTCTACTGATCAAAAGAGGACTATAAAAGGCAAATTAGGGAGGTACCACATAATCATAATGGATAAGCGCACACATATATTATGATAGGCTTCAAGATAGAAAGGCAATAAAGAAAAGCACAGTAAAATAGATAATCATTCAATCTTAAATATCTACACTCATTTAAGGCTTCATTTTAAGGCAAATGCAGCATTACTACATACAAAGACAACAAAGGAATTTAGAGGTAGAGTTATACTCCAATCACTCGGTGGTACTAATGCACCAGATATTCCTTGCGCTTGTTCAGGCGAACTTGACAAAATGACAGGAATCCAATGCCAACGTAGATTGCTGCTGCAATGAAGCAATTGTATCCAACTTGGTTGTACAATTTATAGATGTTTTGCAGTGCCGTCGGCCTGAAATGAGAGAAAAGAATAGTGTGTTAGAAAAAAGCCAAAACCCCTTCGACAAGGCTACTGGACTACATTTTTGGACAGGCTGAGGGGAGAGAAGAAAAAAAAAAACTGTCAGAGCTTCTATCATAAAGTCTTGAGAATATGTGACATTCCCTATGCTAGACAGACTTATTTTCCAGTGTGATTAAATGAGTAAACGGCAAAAGGAACTCACCCGTCCTCCATGTCTTTCTCTGTGAAAGGTACATCCTCTATGAGCACAGCTGAATGTGTGGTGAAAAAAATCCCCAGCATTGCCTAAGAGGAATAAGACATCATGTAGGGCTGTATTTCTCCCTTCACTGGCACTGTCTGCTAGTTTTCATATTCAGGGCCCCCACACCTTTATGTTTAAGTTGTACTACTTGATTTTTCAAGTAGTTTGTAGTAAATGGGTAAGGATTTTCAATATCAATACTTTTTTATAATTACAGCCCTCACAAAGAGCAATTTCTAGCTAAATAAATACTTTAGGGACCTTGCATTGTTGTTGACATTATGTGTGAAGGCAATTTACTACAGTCCCCCAAAAATTAAGATATGCTTAATGTATTTTAGTGACCTTTCAGCATGGACTTACTATGCATAGAAAACACAAGAATAGTGACACAATAGAGAATATTTAACTTACCAGCATAATGACACCCCAAATGCTCAGGACCAGTCCACATGCTGCCAGTTTAGGACCGCAGAAAAGCAAAGAAGCCATTCTATTATAGAAGCTTGTCAGTTTTCAGTTACTCGGAGATGCCAGAGGACCGTTTCAAAGAAAATAAACTTTATACGACTGTCATTTCAACTTTAAAAAGTGACTTTTGTTTAAGTTTTCTAGCCTCGGTAAGATCGGTGTCAACAGTCACCCGATTAAATCAGCTGACTTGTTAGAGGAAGCGGAAGTAGCGTGACTGCCGAGTCCAACGTCATAAAGAGTTTGAAACAAACTTTATGCACTTCGCTAATATTCAGAGCTCATCGACTGTCTATTTTGACAAACACACTATCCACATCCATTCCAACCATCTTTCACTCGCTTTATTAAACCATTTAAGATGAGGAAATATAAAAGCAGTAACGTTTGATCGGTTTTTAAGCATTTAAAGTTTATTTCCCTCGAATTATGAAGTTGTAAAGGATGTTTTGTCCTCAACCGAGGGTTTATCTAAATGTTCTGTAAACACAATCTAAACCCAGCAGTTCACTGATGGTTACAATTTTGCCTTCATAAATTAGGCATGTTGACATTTGACACCTAAACCCAAACGGTTTACTTTCATCTTAGAAACAAACTTTTTTGTGCAGCTATCTATTAGGAGTTCTAGACTACAATCTACTGGGATTTAAAAAAAGGATGTATAATGTTTCGTAATGATTGCAAATGCTGAAACTGGACACCTGAAGTGGATACTTTTATGACTCTTTGCTCATTCTCCTCCCTTCACGTTCTCTCCCCATAACAAAACGTCGCCAAATTCCTTTAGTTTTTGGCTCTCTGCGTTGAGACATTTTTAAGGAACAACATGTTGTATTGACTAAACAGGTGAAAATCAATAGATATAACCCTCTAAAGAACGAAGTGTAAGGAGGGGAAAATATGAAGAAAATTAATCTCGATGGATGAAAAAGAGTGAAAAGGATAACGAAGACGAGGAGGGCGCGTAACGGGACAGCACTGAGGAAAACAAGATTTAAAGTCAAAGAAAACTATTGAAATTTATTATTTTTGACTTGTTGGACAGCAAGGCATAATTTACAAACACATTCCACCAAAAAAAGTAAGTATACCTCTAAAAACTAAGCAACACAGCAGTTTTAGGATACATTGTGTCAGTGCAATACGTGGCCAAACGTGATAGTACACGGCTACATTAAAAAGCCTTTTAATAATTGGAATGTATAAATTACGTAAAATATGGAAATATATTCCTCATTATGATTTAAACCTACTTTCCGAAGTAGTATTTTTCATGATATTTTGGGACAATGCAGTTTCTGTGGTAGTACGGTAGATGGCTCTTTATGTTCTGGATGTTGTTTCTGCTGAAATGTTTCGTCCATATTCTGTGAAAGACAAACAAAACACTGATGTTGCAAGAGAAGCTGTTTTACTAAGTAAAATGTTACTTGAATTGAAATACACACTGGTGTCTAATATTCAGGGATAGTGTCTGTTCAGTTAAAACTAAGAAACTGTAGATACTGGTAACTATTTTGAATTGTTAAAAGTTACTAGAATAAGTACTATAGTATTTAATTAATAAATACTAAAAAGGTACCAGAATATATAGTTGGAGTGATATATGAACCACAGCATCCTATAGAATTTAATGGGAATTGAATAGGAAGAATGTGCAATTTGTTAACAATTGAATAATTAGTCACTACTGGTAGGCTGCAAGTAGCAAATGAATAAATGCTAGTATGTACTAGCGTATCATTGAATAATATTCTTGTAAGGGAAACAGGTACTGGACACTATTGGATTATTTTCTAGTAATTAAAAAGTACAATATAGTATAATAACATAATATAATTAAAAAGTACTTTATAGTACTGAGTGAGTACTATAGATACTAATTCATTTTAAGGAGTAAATGTTAAACAGAGTTTGCCGTATATGGCAGTTGTGGCCTAATGGTTAGAGAGTCTGACTTGTAACCCTAAGGTTGCGGGTTTGAGTCTCAGGTCCGGCAGGGATTGTAGGTGGAGGGAGTGAATTACCAGTGCTCTCACCACCCTCAATACCACGACTGAGGTGAAACCCTTGAGCAAGGCACCGAACCCCCAACTGCTCCCCGGGCACCACAGCATGTGTGTGTGTGCACTTGGATGGGTTAAATGCAGAGCACAAATTCATGTCATGTCCTTTCCTTTCCTGTAAAAACATTTGGTGTTATAGAATTGTTATTTATTTATTAGATTTTTTAAATTGTTTTCCCCTAAAATATATTGTCTTCTTGATCCTCACTCTTATTCTGTTAGGTACCTTGAGAATGGATGGAGAAAAAGAAAAAGAGCGGGAGAGAGGAGATGAAAAAGAGAGTGATGAGACAGAGGAGGATGCAGAGGGGGCAGCCTTATTATGGCAAGAGGGATACCCTGATGATGGCCTGGGCTTACCCATCATGCACTGGGAGGATCTGAGTCTCCGTATTGCTGAACTTGAGAAGCAACAAGAGGAGCGAAGACAGAGGGAAAAGGTCTGAATGAGAGTAAAGATAGTAATGTGCATTAAACGGTAAAAGATTAAAAAACAAATGACACTTCATGTTTTGGATTGGCAAGAGCTACAGTTCTTTTGTAGTAGAACAGTATCTACCATAACAGCCACCATGAATTTATACTGGGATGTTTTTCTGCAGGACTTAGACAGGTTGACAGTAGACTGGCCAGAAATCAGAGGGCTGAGCAGTCACAGAGAAACCTATGAGGACATGGAGGACGATTGCAACAGTCGTCTGACTGCTCTGACAACAAGGTCACACAGATTTCATAAATCTCAACTACTTTTCTGTTCACTTCCTCGGAATTTGAATAAAATCTATAGCAATAGTGCTTTATTATTATAGGCTTCAGAGCCAGATGAATCTACAGCTTTGCTTCATCAACAACAGTGAAAGCGAAGAGGAAGAAGAGGAAATGGAGGCAAAGAACGAGGTAAAATAAATTGCAATATTGACATTTTCACAGTTAATCGGCACGAGTGTCAACATACTGTAATGTGAACAATGTGATATTTAAGACATATTTTTGTTCATGTCTGTTATTGATGGGATTTACTTGGTAAGATTAATAATTGCTTTTTATGCTCTTTGTTACCTTTTCAGGTGGCAAAACAGTCCATCAAGAGTGGCAGCAATCAGAGGTTAGAGAAAGAACGTGGTTCAAGCTCTGCATCGACTAAGAAAACCAAATCAAGAGGGTTCAAGAATGATGTCAGAGCTGCACTGAGTGTACTCAGACATAAATTGAGATTGGAGCACAAACAGGTTAGAAAAGAGCACATACGCATGGTGTAGTGTCTTAAGTGTGTATTTTATTTTATGTGTTTGGTAACTTCCAGAAGCACACTTATTCAAATAGTTAGGCATTATTTTCTATTAGTTATGTAGATGCCATGTTCTGTACACTACCATTCAAATATTTGGGGTCAGTAAGATTTTTTTTTAAAGAAATTAATACTTTTATTCAGCAAGGATGCATTAATTTGATCAAAGCTGACAGTAAAGACTTTTACATTTATACAAAAAAATCATTTTCAAATAAATGCTGTTCTTTTGAATATTCAGCAAAGAATCCAGAACAAAAAATAATCACAGTTTCCACAACAGTATTTAGCAGCACATGGGTTTTCAACATTGATAATAATAATAATAATGTTTTTTGTGCACCAATCAGCTTAGAATTCTGAAGGTTTATGTGACACTAATGGCTGCTGAAAATTCAGCTTTGCCATCACAGGAAGGAATAAAATACATTTTACAATAAGTACAAATAGAAAATAATAATATTTCAACATAATACTGTTTTTTACTGTTTATGATCAAATAAACACAGCCTTAGTGAGCATAAGAGACTTTCAAAAACATTTTAAAATCTTACCATCCCTAAACTTTTGAATGTTTGTGTATAAATGCAAAGTCATAATTGTACTTCACTGACCCCAATCACAGACTATACCTCCCAGTGAGGCTGTCAGAGAAAGGAAGCACTATGAACGAAATGACTTGAAGAATTTCAGCTTGAAGGAGCTGAAAGCGCTGAGGACCTCACTAAGCAAAGACATTCATGGTAAGCCTAAAGGTGCGTCCCAAATCGCATACTTATGCACTATTCTGTGACGTTTTGTAGTATAAATAGTGCGAGTAGTGCGTTCACACTGAAAATTCCAAAAAGAAAAAGTGCACTTTAAATACCCGGATGATGCACTTAAATACCCGAAAAAAGTAAGTGTGGAATGTTGGACACTTCATGCACTCAACTGTCGCAGCTTTAATTACGTACCGAAGGGGGAGGGGCTATCAGACTCCGATTATGAATGACAAAATAACCTTATATAATTCATACTATACATGGTTGAGTACATAGTGCATAAGTACATAGTGTATGAGTGCATAGTGTTTTATGCGTCATTTGGGACGCAGCTTCAGTATTATTTTACATATTGCGTATTTTACATATTGATGATGTCTGTTGTGAATAATTGAGTAAGTCTGTGTATGTGTGTAGACCTCAGTTCAGAGCTGGTGGGTCGACTTCTCACAAGGGACCAGCTGAGAACAGAGCAAGACGCCATGCTGCTGGAGGTACAAGATATGACATCACTCTGATGCGCAGTCAAAAAAAAAAAAAGTATTTCCACTAAGGAACAAAATGAAGGGACCCTTCCTTTACAAGACTGTCCGTGAGCTGCCTGAACTAATTGACTTTACTGTGAAAAGCTGCAGCACTCCATCATCACTTGAAAAAGACTTTTTCATTATAGAATTTTTCTTGACATTTTTAAGGCACCGATGAGGATTTAAAACTGCAGTTTACACTCTTACAGTTGCAAGAACTAACTGATAAAGCAACAAAGCGGTAAAAGACAATATACAGTATGTCATGACATGCTCTTTTGCTCAATATTACTCTAATTTGTTTAGTGTCAAAGCCAATTATGCCAAGCCTCACATGTTAAGACATGGCTCATTAAATGCTATGTGTGTGTACATACATTGCCAAGCAACTCATAACTGGATTGTTTGTGTCACTGTTTGTGAAATACTTAAATATTATTTTGTGGAATAAAAGGGAATTCAGTATGATTGTATATGTGTTCTGTTTTGTTGCAATGGTATAATATTGCTCTTCTATTGTGTGTATCTGTGTGTATTTTGCCTAGCCAGAGTTTGTGTCATCAAAAGGCCAGCTCAGCACTAATAGAGGAAAGAAGAAAGAGGGAGGGACAGATCATAGAGCAAGAGATGACCAAGGAGGGTTGGATTGAGAGAATGGTCAAAATACTTCAAGGAACTGATGTGAAAGGGAAAGATTCAGGACTGAATGACTAGACAAAGCCATCACTGCATCCAGATCTTCTTCGATTTGCTCTTCTTGATAGTCGAATTAGCTGTAACTGTATTGGAATAGAGGTGTTCCTCAGGTTTTATTTAATACTGAGATTCTTTGTTTTTTCTAAAAAGGACTTTATCGCTCTACTAAATAGGTAAGTGAAAGATTTTTAACCGCTCATTACCAGATGTAATAGGTGTTTTTCGCTGTCCTTGCCTATGTCAATGGTGTTTTACAGTTACAAAACTCATATTTTGCTTACCCAGAAAAATGTTAATGTGTATCTTGTCTATAAATATTCTTGTCTTTTTAGTCTCACTATTAAATAAATTTACAGCTATGGAGGGCAGTGAACTCTTGCAATATGTGGGTAATCTGAAGGGTTGTTTGCACTGTTTATGGTGTTGTCTGATTCCCCAAGTAAGGACCTTGTTATTTATTTAGCCAAAGCAGACTACCTTAATGTCATTTAGTGACCTTCAGGTACTCACTGATTTATTTACATAGTGTCTTATATGTCTGAGAAGTGGTAGGCAATAAGCAATTCACCACGAGCTCAGTCAGCTGTGTGCTAACTTTGCCGGGAGGTGGGGATAGCCATGACATCCATTGAATCCCAAAGGATGTTTAATGTGCAAATGGAGCCAGAGGGGAATCTAGGCATAGTTTAACAAAGGCTGAAAGTTTCTAAAGCTGGCAATTACGTATCATTTATATTTGTTTCGAGGAAGAGGGATGGGGTAGAGAGTTCTGGTGTGAGGCACGGGATGAGGGGTGGGTAAGATAAAATAGAACATAGAGGGGAAGTGTGGTTACTGTTTGATGGGTTAATGAAGTGAAAAGGGTCTGAATCAGCAGCATTTATACCTATGCGCAAACAGTACCAGGGGTTGTGAAAGAGAAAGGGGGATGCGGGGAGGGCTTGTGTGGGATGATGACTGCTTTTAATGGTTTTGGCAAGCTGGTACTTTTTTTATGCATCCTAACACCAATGTATCTCTCATAGATGTTAAACTAGACCACAAGGAGGAGATCGCTGGAAACTCAAACAAACTTGTTCGTTGGAGAAGACGTGGTTTCAGAAGCATAAAAATGGGGGGATTAAACCAGGACGCTCCCTAAGAATCCGATTAAGAACTAGCCTACAATGACGACAAGTGCGCCTACTGTTTTGTTTGAAACAGAGAAGGGGGCAGATGCCCAGCTTTCCTCCTCACACAACTCTTCAGTTACTGGCTCCTGCAATATTGACGAGTCCTACAAGTACATCTTCCTGCCCATTTGCTACTCCTTTACCTTTGTCTTCAGTATAACCCTTAACTTTGTGGTTCTCTACCGTTCCTTTCGACACACCAGGCACTGGAACGCGTCCCTGATTTACATGGTGAACCTAGCCACAACAGACTTCATGTATGGTTTATCCCTGCCATTTTTGGTGGCCAGTTATGTCATGCGGGATGACTGGGTGTTTGGAGACTTCATGTGCCGTCTAGTGCGTTTCCTCTTCTACTTCAACCTCTACTGCAGCATCTTCTTCCTCACTTGCATCTCAGTGCATCGCTACCTGGGCATCTGCCACCCTATGAAGACCATCACCTTGGAGACCAAACGAGCAGTCAAGGGGACTTGCGTTCTGGTGTGGATTGCCGTTTTTGCACTAACGTGCCCAATTTTCCGTTTTGCAAAGACACAGAATCTTCCACGTGAAGGTAAGGGCTCGAGCGAGATGTTCATTAATTGCTGGGATGATGCAATTGATAAAGAGTTCCATGATTACATCCCTTACGGGGTCACGCTTCATTTCTTGGGCTTTTTTGTGCCGTTCAGCATCATTGCCTGGTGCTACTCGCGTGTAGTTTTAACAATATTTCGGACGCTGCACTCTCAACCTCCTCCTCAAAGAGTCAGAAGTGGGACGGGCTGTGAAAGCGTCGCAGGAATTGGGGGAGAGGGCATGTCAATCATCTTGGGGGCTCAATCGCCTTATGTCAACAGACGGCGCAAGTCCATCAAGACCATAATTACCATCACTCTCCTCTTTGCCCTTTGCTTCTTCCCCTTCCATGTCACTCGCACCATTTTCCTACTGCTGAAAGTGACGAGTAGGGTGCAGTGCCACACCATGCGCATGGTTTCCATCTGTTATAAAATCACTCGGCCGCTGGCCTCGTTCAACGCCTGGCTGAATGCACTGCTTTACTTTCTTACTAAAGAGAAAAACGGGCCCTGTTGTCAAAAACCTGAACATGCCCAGCATGGCCTGCTATGGCCACTTAGAATGCTGGGAAAAGGAGAGGAAGAGGAGAATGAAGTTGAGGAGATAAGGAACCACAAGAACAACGGGCCAACAGATAAAAACCATACACACAGAGGTCTGCCTTAAGTAATGAGCATGTAAACATGTGACAGTGCAGGACATCAACAAGTGAACCTGGTGGACCTGCCTTCGTATGGGATTCATTTGAAACAAACTGATGTTTTTGTTATATTCTCTGTATTTGTATAACTTTGTGTGTTCACATTAAACATGGAGGATCTTGTCGTTTTGTCTTTTCAAGACCCCTTAAAGATTGTTTTACTTGTTGATTGCTTGGATGGTTAATTAGTTATTGTAAATCACACGCATATATAGAATAATAAATTCATTTATAAGGTGTCTTATGTTTGCAGTTGTTGGCATACCTCAGGGTGGACACATTTTGTGCAGGAACTATGTTTAGCGCTGTCATGGATTAATATGTCATGTTGTGAATGATTAAACTGTTCTAATAAACATTTTCTGAACCTGTTTAAATGAAAATCAAATTATGGCTGTGATCTTTTGAAGTCTATATATTATTAAGCACTATTCCATATTGGTATGTCTTTGTGTGAGTACAGAATCTAAATTTGTTGTAGAATAAACTACTTAAGGATCAAGGTGTCGGTTTAGGCATCTTGTTTACATTATATTTCTTTACAAGTATGAGGTAAAGGAACATTACACATATTAGAAAATGCTGATCATTTCTAAATACATGTCTATATCATTCATTCATTTAACATACTTACAATGACCTTTTTCCATGGAGATAGAATTGTTGCTTAATTCCAAATAAATAGATTACGATCCATAAATAAATGTAAAGAGATTAACAAACATTAAACATATTGACAAATAAATAGAATGAGATCCACAAATCAATTTTAAACATCTTTTACTGTACCCAATTTATGGCCCTTATATTACCAATTTGAGCCAGTGCAGATGAATGAAGTTATCTCAGGACGAGTCTGCCCTGATTGTAAAGCAAAGCGTGATTGGCTATAGCGAGATCGTGCTACGATTGGTCAGCGAAATGTGGCTGTTATCTGATTGGCTTGAGTAGACGGTGGGTGGAGTCCACGTATTTGTGGATTGTCAGCACGTCTTGACGCAAGAAATGTTTCACAATTCGCAAATGCACAGGACGCGATTCACAAATGATTGCAGCTATCTACAAATGCACAGGACGCGATTCAAAAATAAATGCCAGGCAAAGTTGTGGGACAGACATAAATATATATTTGTGAATATGTTTTTTATTTGCAAATCTCGTTTTATTTATTTGTGAATTTAATTCATGTTTGTGAAACTTTAAGATTTATTTGTGGATCTCATTCTATTTATTTGTGGATCATAATCTATTTATTTGGAATTAAGCAACAATTCTATCTCCATATTTTTCCAAGTGGCATTTTTTTTGTACTTTCTAAGTACACTGGACATGAGTACATCAGTAGGACAGCACAAGCAGCCTACCCTTTGTCCTTCCGTCTTTCTAAAATAAGTTCAAACCAGATGATCCACGAAAGACCTCAGCTTCATAGACTGTTATTAATACTTGGTATTACATTGGTTAATGATCAGCTGTCCTGTTGCAAGATTTTCTGAACCAAAGGAGCCTGTCTAAATGTAAAAAATTCTGTATGGTAGTAGTGGAAGAATGCATGTTATAGATGAAATACCTTGTCGGCATAATAATGTAACTCTTTCTGTTCTTACAAGATCTTGGTAGGCCTACAATTTGCTTTTGCAGTAAATGATAATGTACTGTATATGATAAAGTCATGATAGTACCGATGAACAGATCATGTATATCGAGAATCATATATGTTTTATAGGCCTATGGAAGAGATTTTTATTGCAATGTTAATTTTCTAGATTTTACCATATAAAACACAGAATGTCTGTTTGTTTCGAATACCTTAAACCCATACTAAACTCATAACTAGACAGAGATAAAGAAAGAGAGTAAGGTTAGATAACATATGTATTAAAAAGGGCCAAATATAATTTTTTTGATTGGACCCTGGTAAACATCTGGTGCATTTTTGTCACTTTATGTGCCATATGCCACAGGTTTCTGACCCTGTCCTGGACATTATATATCAGGCTCTGTGCACTCTTCTCGTAATAATATGTTGCTAGATTTGTAAAATGTAGTAAAACTAAGCAGTGTTTTCGATTCATAAGGCAAAAAACAAGCTCTTGACATCGACTGTACGATGCCAGCTCAGAAAATACACAGATAATATACAACAGGGGGCGACATTGTGGCCATTCAAGATTTTAGTTTGGAAATTTAAAAGAAAACCTTCCCGACCTGCACCGCGGCTAAGACACGACCTGACGGTTATTAAAAATTATAAAAAAATAATTATAAATTATTGAAACAAATAATTCAACAATGAATAACTAGAATGGCTTGTGTTAATCAATATGCAATAAATCCTTTTGTGGAAAAAAATATTTTTCACTGAGGAAAATTTATATTTATTTTTTTATCTGTCCCGTGTCATCACAGTGGTAGAGCTGCTGCAGTGGAACATTGGCGCCATTTTCAAACTTCAGAGCCTCAGTGACTGGAACTCTTGTAACAGCTACATTATTCCTCATTATGATTTTTTTTTTCAAATTCTTTCCTCAGGACCCTTCATTACTTTAACTATTATTTTTACAAATATTGGGAACTGGAAGAGGATTTTCATAAAAGGTAAGCAATTATTACTTCTTTATTTGTATAATTATTATTGTAATCGACAATTTTTTTTAACAAACTTCGACGAAATGTGTCCCCTTTATCATTGATTATTTACTGACTGCGAGTTTTATTTTTTTAATAAAGTAACACAAACATGTAGCTGTAAATACAAAGTAATGGTACTTTAACAAAATATGTCAAACATGTTTTATAGAATTACGAGGCGTTGGTAATTTTATATATGTTGTTTATGGTAAGCTGTTTCAGCACTTTTCTTTTGTGTTTTAAAGAAAAAAACAAAACAAACATAACGTTACTTCCTTACTATAGTTAAGCAGACTACCTCCAAAACGTGTTGGAACCCGCTGGATAACGTTCAAACAACTTATGCGATGCTTTGAATATATTGACCGCATAAAGCAAACCGAATAAAGTAGTCTTCTAGTCTTTGTCATATGTTAGCTTTTAAAGACAATGATTTCTCGGTGCCTCTAATGTTCTGAACCACTCCCCTCTGTTGCTGTCCCCTCACCCACAACCAAGCTTCAAGCACTAAGTTACTTTCACCTCTTTTAATTCGCTCCATAAAATAATGGATTTCGACGTTAGATATATTCACGGCGATTTCTTCAATTGAAAGAGTGTAGTCAGGAATGAAAATAGATTGTCTAACATCGAAATGACAGTTAAAGTTATTCATTCTACATTATTTGAAAATCAGAACGTTGGTTCGTCAAATGACATCTTTAGGTGACGGTGTGACGAAATAGAACTCTGCAGAAAAATAACGACATTTTTCGAATGTAACGTTAGTTGAAAACGCGCTTTGAGGTGACATTCAAAACCAAGAGAGAATTGGCGATGAATCAAAAGTTCAAGTTTCCAAGTATGCCATTTTCAAAACTATTTATTACCTTCCCCATAAAATAAATGTAAAATAAATAAATAAATAAAAATTCTCGATATCCGACTAATTGTTTGTTTTGAAACCTACATCCATCTCGTATCGATTCAGATGACTACGTTTGAATAACTCTGATTTTATCGCCTTTCTCGTAGTTAGGCAAGACAATAATTATTATACCACCCAATTAATATTCCAGTTTGTAATATCAAAATCTATTGTCGTGCTTTGCCGTTTATATGTATCTAGTATATATATTTTGAATCCAGTTACAATTAGTGTTAAACCAATTAATCTGCACAGATATTCACACAGATATTCGAGTAGTATTATAGAATGATGTTTGACTTTGCTGCTGTTTTAAAAGTTGCCCTAAAGTGTTAGTTATTATCAAAAGTAATGTAATGGCCTTTATAATGACCCTGTAACCTCGTGATAAAAGTACACGTAGCTTTCTCTTAGTTTTGGCATGGATTTTGCTTTATACTTAATGTATTAATTCCAGTAGTTTCCTTGTCTTTTCGTTTTTTTCTGGGCTCACAAGATTTTCTTCATGAACAATTTGAACATTTGAAACGCCGCAGTAAAGATTTGGCAAGTCATTCTTGTCATATTGACTTTTTTTTTAGAATGTCTATAAGTATGTATGTAGTGTGCAAGTACTGCATTGGCATTGAGCTTTTTTGAACAAATGAATAAATGGCATAAAGTGAGGATGAGGTCTTGGGTAAGGTATGCCATGAAAGCTCTGCACCTGTTCCTAGATGTCATATTAAACAATATTCCTTGATTTTGCTACACATCTGCTGAAAGTAATGTAAGGGAGAGGCTGGGCATGGCATGGGATGGACTGTTTGGAACTGAAAAAAAAATGTTTCAAATAAGTTTTCTGTTTTTCGAGGAGGAAAACCCTGCTCATTAACCACATACTGCCATATGATTTATATAAGTTTATATGATTATATTATAAAACTGTTGTATATATTTGTAGTATTGTAGTATTGTCAGTTTTTTTTCTCATTGTTTAATTCAAGCCTCTTTATTTGCAGATAAAAAAAAAATCTTTAGTGCTAGGCTTTTAAGTTTTTAGTCGGGGTATTTTTAGTCTTCCTGTTTTGGTGTGTGGTTCCTGAAGCTTAGTGCTTTTGTCTTTGGTTGTACAAGATGATACTGGTAGAATTAAAAGGTAAAAGACAAGGGACTGTATACTTTTGGTACAGAAATGATCTTCACAAAGAGTGCTATATGAATTTGCTCTTAGGTTAATCTTTAAGAATTTTATAATGACAGTGATTTTTTTTAAACGTGTTATCTTGCATTAGCTGTGTATTATTAGTAAATTATTTTGAAGCTAATCTGGTTTTCAACCTGGTTGGTTGCATTAGCCTGTAAAAGACATTTTGTGAAATGTAAGGTTGTATTTTAATCGAACTTTCCATGACAATATGTTCGTCTGAAAATGTATTGATTACTGGACATTAATTTCTCTTTTAATTCTGCTTATTTGACTTGAATTATCACAGAGGTCTTTGTCTTGTCTGGCTCTATGTGTGTGTGTGTGTGTGTGTGTGTGTGTGTGTGTGGTTTGTGTGCACTGTTGGACCATGGTTGTGCTACTCAGTAAAACTATCTGTAGAACCAGATCAACATATTCTCCACTCTTTGTAGCCAGCCTTGTACTACACAGAAAACCCACAGAGACCCTGCATAAAATCCGGCCACATTGAGAGCATAAAGAGTATCAAAGTGTAAAAACTTTGCTTTGTTTGAGCACTCCAAACTGTTGACATCTGTTTTTGCTGTTCCTCCTTTCTTTTTCAATGGATAATGAACTAATGGCGAGAATATAAAGTCACGTTTTTTTCTTTAATTTTGGACAATGCGTTTGGACTTGAAACACCCCCTGTGCGGTCGCTCGAGTTTGGAGTTTGTGGTGAACGCTTGCCCGCAGTTTATTGCAAAAATACACCACGAACGCATAACACTTTTCCTAGTTTCATATCCCCCTTTCTGTGCTTCTTTGCAGCCGAGCCTTCTCCCTCTTTTGTTCCCCCCCTCTCTCCCTCCCTTTCTCTCCGTTGGCTGTGTGAATGCTTTGGCAAGGCTACAAGAAATCAAGCAAGCGAGAGCTGCTAGCACTGACGCGCCCCAGACACTAAGCCCTAGAAATTAATTTTTTCCTCCGAAACGGTAGTGCCGGCGGTCCTCAAACTTCACACTCTTCTAAGGGGACCCCAGGGCGATGCCCTGATTTTTTTGGGGATTTTTCCTGTCCCCCGAAAATGTTCATTTTAATTGTAGAAACTGATGCCCCGGGAAAAAGGCTACAACCCCTGCTTTTTATGCCTACCAAGTTCCTCAGGCAGCCTCACTAGCTACAGCTAAGCAGAGGCTGCACACTGCACTGGACTGCTGGTCTGAAGGTGAATAGGGAGAGAAAGGGGTTTAAGGGCTGAAAATAGGTGCTGGTGGACAAAAGGTTTAGGCACTTATTTGACTCTTGGAACCCCACCCCCCAATCTGGAATGGGAGCCCCAAGCTCAGACGAATGGGTGTATTTTTGACCTGAAATTAAGACTTGGGATTCCCATTGATAAGTGCATGTGTGGGTTTGTTTTCCTTTTTAATTCTGTTTCTACAATTTTTTTGAAAGCAGCCAAACTGTTTTAGGTGTAGATCTAGCTGTAGATTTGCGAAGAATTAAAATATTTGAGGTGGGCGAACTACTTTGTGACTTTAATCGAGTTTTCTGAAAGAATTAAAAAGTATTTTTCAAGTACTTTGCTTGGCTTTTTTTAATACATTGAATTAAGTTGGGGAATTACATTTTTTTTTCCCTACCCAGGTGCAGGAGACAGACTACACTGGAAGAGGAGAGGCCGGTGGGTTACTTTGGGAATACCAGGCACCTTTTCCTCTCCCCTGTTGCCTAACATGCTGGAGAACGGGGATCGAGGGTAAGTGAAATCTTTCCTGTGTCCGTTTCAAAGCTTAACCAAAACGGCCCCTGGTTTGAATGGGTGAGCAAAGTTAGGCCAGGGTGTGTATGTGTCTATGTAAGTGTGTGAGCTTCTCTTTTAGGTCTCCCTCTCCCACCCATTTGCTGTCTATCCTTTTCTCATTTTCTCTCTCTCCCTCTCTTTTGCTAACACCCCCCACCCCCCTCTTCTCTCCCTCTCTCGATGAACGACGGGCAGAAGTAGACAGAAGCAAATGCCTTCTGCAACTGTGCTGACGTGATCATTTGATTCAGACCTTAAATAGGCTGCCCTTTATGAGATGGAAGTGTGTTTGTCAGGGTTGATTAGAACTAAAAGCATTAAATGTAAAATATTCACTATCATACGTTTTGGAAAAAACGTTGGGTTTTTGTGTAGCACAATTTTAGTCACAGCTTAGCCTGCATTTTGCTTCTGATAAACTTCCTCTTTTTTTACTGTGAACTTCAGCTTCATAATAAAGGCTTAAATATCTTTAAGCAGAAATTAAAGATTGTGTTTTGGTGTGTTACAACAGTCAGAATGAATTATTTTGCAATAAAATCTTGATTTTCTGCTGACATTAGAACTTCATCACACAACATAGGGTGTGGTGTACTTAAAAGAAAAATGTCAAGTCCTTCAAAAATACTTGGTGTTTCTTTTTCTCCACCACAACAGTTGATATTATAAATATCAAATACTTTTTTAGTCCTTTCAACTTTTGTCAGTTATTAGTTTTGAGCAAATTAAAAATGTAATTTGTTTTTCACTAAAACAATCATTATTGTGGTTTTCCTACTTAATTGATGCCACATTTATGTTGGTCTAGTGTTGTTGGTGTAAGCTTCTTTTTTCAAAAAACAAAACAAAAACAGAGAAAATTTTACAAGCAAAATAACAAAAAAATTAAGGGAAAAACAGTGAAATGTAGAGATGGGCCAAGATCTTTCTGCCATTTTAAATTTTACACACTACAACAATTGATCTGCCATATGCCCTCATCTTTCAAACACCACTGGCTTTTCACAGATGAATAATACAATAATCTTGATCTGGTAGTCACACTTTTTAAAATCAGATGTTCCTCTAATTTTTCTTAACTACCTCCCCCTAATATCATCCTCTTATCGCTCCAAAATTAAAACCTATACTATGTTCTGGAATATACTGCGGAGTGTGGACTTTAAAGTTAGTAGTTTTGTAACTTCTTATTTTTTGTTAATGTATACTTGCCACTTTTGCTAACGAATTGTTTTTATAGAGGTTGTGAAAATTATTCTTTATGAATTGTACAAGCATTCTTTTCTTTCTGTCCTCTTATTTGTTTTTACATTTGGACAAATTTGACTCCTAATCCCAGGAATCCTTTAATTTGATGTAACACTTTTCTTGGCAAAAATTATTTTATTGAATAATTAAAATATGCAGTTTTATAATACTGTATGTGTAATACTAATAGATACTTTAACTTTTATTATAGTGATACTTAATCCTGTTTCACAATATTAAGCCTGAGAAGTTAAAAATTAGAGATGTAGTGCTTTTTTTGGTGGTGGTGGGGGGAGGGAGATAAAAATAAATAATTTTTAGATGTTTTTTTTTCTTTTCACTCACAGCAAATTATTCCCATGGTAATAAAGCCATTTTGACAGGCGCTCGTTTTTTCTCCTCATCTCCCCCCTTTGTTATTATCCTCCATTTTGTCTTCATCCTCAACATCCATTTTAGGACAGTGTGTGCACAATAACTCACTTATTAAGTCTCACAGGGCATTATTAGAATGGCATGAAAAGATGTGGGTGACCACGAGCTTCCTCATAATTGTCTGTGCTAAAGAAATAGCAGTAATGCTGTCAAACAACTTTTATTACATTTAATTACAATCTGTTCACATTGCATTCTCATCAAATTTTCATCTGTCATTATTTTTTGATAGCTTGCCACTAAATATCCGTTTCTATATTACACGTAATTAATTTTGTCCCTAATCTTATCCTAGTGAGGACCAGTGGAGTCTGTCGTCATCTTTTTATTTAGCCCAGAGTGCCCTGTAGCAGCACATCATGGTTTGTAAGTTCTAAGGGCAAATTCCAAATTATGATGTGCTGTCACTGGAAGCCTGGGAGTTTCTCCATTAACATGGCAGCATTAAACACCTAATGTTCTGCTTATATCATAAATCACAGTGTAATAAATGCATCAGAGGTAAGCCTCTTTTTTAAAATACAGTAACAAGTGGAGTGAGATGCAGTCTGAATTGTTTGAAAATGTATTTAGAATTGGGTTAAAACTGTCTTTCAGACTTGTGAATAAAAATGTGATAGAGGTTTTTTTTTCCAACTCAAATGATATTTTTACAAATGACCACCAGACACACAATAAATGATTCATGACTGAATCACCAGGTGTGGCTTAGGTGGCCTCTTCAGTGAGTAATTCCCAGACAGCTGGGAATTCACATCCTGTATTTGTTACTAGTCTATATTTTAGGAGATCAGCATTGCTTTTTACTGTGATAGTGTAACCATTCAAGCTGTTGAATTAATCTGCATATATTTTGTATGTTCCTTTCGTCCTCTTTCCTCCCTTGGACCACTTGATGTCTCGGTGTGCCTGACAGCAGCAGCACATCAATATTGGCAGCTGCCCTCTCCCTGGGTTGCCAGTATGGTTTGTGCTGCTCCCGTCAGACAGACACACTCAGCGACTCTCCAGTATTTGGAGCAGTATGGAAAGCACCTGTCCAGAAATTAAATGTTGTATGTATTTTACCTCGACAATGTCAAAATTAAAACGAAAGCCCTTCTTCTTGTCGTTTTGCCTGAAAATGTCTAATCGAAAAACTTCACATTAAAAATAACAAAACCTTATTTGAGTGAAATTATTTTATTTACAGTACAAAAAAATGCCAGGAAATTGTGGTTTTAGTCCGTCTCCGATAGACTGGTGAAAACCAAACTGTGCCATCTTCACTGTTCTGCTTTTAGAAATGCCATTCAGATACAGATCTGATTTTACACCATGGCTGGTTGATTTCATGAGATTATCAGTCACACACTTAGTGAGGTTATTATAACCAATGAGGAAGAACAGAGATATAGGTTGAAGTGTCACTGTGCTGTGGGATTGTTTATGAGATCAGATGGACTGTATTTTACTCATTTCAAACACGAAATCTGTGATTTAATGCTGATTTAGCTGTTCTTAATGTAACATTTCTGTCCTTCATTTCTGTTCTGTTCTTAACATTGGTAGGGCTAAGACTATATGACCAACTTGTTAACAGCCCAATTATGCAAAAGTTAAAAGTTATTAGACTATGCCCACAGACCGTTTCAGATCAGATCGATAAAAAACCGGAAAAAAAAACCTAAGTCAACATAAGACAACTTGCTTAAGCTGCATTTATGTAGTGGAAGATGCCACTGCCACATTGCTCCTAAGAGGTTTCCAGAAAAGCCTGGATGAAGATTATCTTGAGTTAAACCCCAGTCTAAAATAAGTATTTTTTGTTTTGTGTAAAAAATAAAATAAAAGTATATTATGAGGTAAATAGACCAAAGATATTACAAAATATCTAAGGAACCCCCCCCTTTAAACAATGTACCAAGCAAAGCATTGACACTCAACAACAGCATTTCAAGGTTTTTGCACAACTTTCCCCCAAAAACAAAGTAATGGTCATAATATTTTATTGATAATGGTTGAAAAAAATTTACACAATGCCTTTACAGTAACTTATTTTAAAATGATGAATTTTGGACCCAGAACAGAAAAATATATTAAGCAAAATTTGCCAGCCTCTTAAAACTGTCCTTCATTGGTAAAATATGCCTAGCTTCACTATTAACTTAGAAATGTTTCTTGAACCCCGCACCGAAGTGACATGATTAGTTCCTTTTCCTGATTGTATGTTGCAGAAGATTTCAACGGGATAACAATGGCAAGTCACTGGAATTCATGATGAGACTGGAGTCGAGATTTAGACTATCTGCTGGGAAAAAATAAATACAGATATAGTTTTCCCCTTAAGGACTGGGAACAAGGGGGGAAAAACAGAAAATTTTGTTCAAAATTTAGAGAAAAAAAAAGTTTCTTACCTTGATCAAAATTGAGCTTTTTAGATGTGGAACTATCACCCAAGCCCTCAATATCTACCAGATCGCTGTTGGCATCAGAGTCATTCAGTGCACTGAGAGTGACATCTGAGGAAAAATTATATGAATGCAGTAGTTACATTGTACTATTCAAAATGCTGAAAATAGTTGAGGTTGAATGAGATAAAGTAATAAGTTGTTTCTAAAAGAGTAAAATAAATGAACAACACAAATGAATGCATTAAGAAATGCTTACCTGCCGTCTTTGATGACTTAATGCTAGATGGACCTGTGGTTGGCCGCTGTAAACCCGCAGTCACCACAACCGGAGACGTTGGCACAGCGATGACTTTAGGTGGGGCTGGGGGAGCCATAGAAACCAGCACCTTTTTGGTACTCTTCTTTGGTGAATCAGTGGATAAAGGAGCTCCACCATCTTCATAAGTCTTCCTCTTGACTGTTGTTTTCATTTGTGCCCTAATGTTTGAGAAATGTCTAATTAGATGCTGACAAGCTACACAATGAATAATGGTGTTTTATGGCCTACAAACATAGACATAAAAAATACAAAAGTATATTAAATATATTAAAACATCTTTACATTTTTTTTGGCTTTTCTGAATTTACACAAGGAATGATGATCAAGAAACCAGCATTCCTTTCCAGATTTAAGGTATTATAACTGCATTAAAACGTTAAAATTTCACCTGCACTTGAGGAAGACACCATTACCATTAAAATTTACAGACTCCTTACATTGTGTGTGTTTTTTTTTTTTTGGGGGTGGGTAGGGTAATCTTAATGTGTTCAAGTATTCTCAAACTTTGTGTGTATCCACCTAGCTCTGCCTGTAAACAGCAATGGAAGATACAAGGCCCATAACATCATTGAAAACAATACTTTATCTTGTCCATGACATCCTGAAGAAATTTCAAGTACAAATCCAAGTGGGATCATATTAAAACGTTTACATAAAAATGTCTCAATTTGCTAATGTATTACTAAAACACTGAACTTAACAATTTATTATATTATAGGCTAAAGCATACCAAGAGCTGGTGAGAAATTAAAATCATTAATGTAAATATTTTCCATGTAATGACTATATGCATTATAAAGAGGGGGGGCTGGACAAAATACCTTACAAAATTGGAAAAGTGTATATGTGTGTGTAATATACGCACTTTAGATTTGTAAGTGTAAAAATGTAATTATACAAAAACCTGATGCAGTGTGTATATAAAAGTACATAACGGAAAATAGACAGTAAATGTCTCACCCTGCTGGACTAATATCTGCCACTGGATGCAGCTGCATGGTCAGCTCTCCCAATTTTGTGAATGCAGCTCCAGCTGCAGAAAAGATCTCACCAACCTAAAGAAGTAAAACAAGAAATAAATACAGCAACGAGCGTATCCGAAAACGTGTTTTTTTTTTTGCACTGGTATTAGGATGATAGTTAGCATGCTAGCTAATAGCTTTATTAACAAAATGAAAAACATGTCCAGTACTAAGGCAATAAAAATGGAAGTACACCATTAAGGTAAATATTTAATCTTGCTTTAGGTAAGTTACCATATTTATCAACACATTTACCTTGGTAGAGGCTGAAGTCATTGTTTTGATTTACAACTGAGTAACAAAGGCTGCGCTTTAGATATGTTAGCAGACAGCTAGCTGACTTGGGTACCAATGATTGACTTAAAACATCCGCGATACTTATTCTTCAACTATTTACATTATGAAATAATAATAAAAGCGTTTTTAACTAAACGGGTAGCATAAGTGCGCCATAAAGATGACACAGTGATTCAATGGTGCTTATTGGTCTAAATTACAGCCGTCTGTCGTTATTGGTCAACACCAAAGAAGTATTCAATACATTCAAAGCTGCGTTGAAACTGCGCAATGGGTTCACTATTTCTCTTCATATGCTCTGCTCAGTGTTCATTGATATTGATCACCGAGAGGAAAACGCTGTTTTAAAAGAAATAAAATGTAAGGTCAAATGACTTGGTTTTTTAAAAATTAAAAATTTTGTATGTAGTTAATTTAATAAAAATACGTTATATATTTTATAAAAATACAATTAATTATATATATATATATTAAACAAATATATAACAATTGCAAAAAATATGTTAGGTAAATACAACTAAAAGTATATTGAAAGAAAGCGTCGGCTTACATTGTACAATGTATTATTTGCAACAATGTGCGTATACTGCCCTCTGGTGCACAAAACCGTCAACTAGGATCCATGTTCAGATGTATTTTGAATGAGAGAACAACCACACAATCAAGCAGCTTTCCTTTAATTAAATCAATAACTGTTTATTGAGGTTGCGTTGGAAAGCTTCTGATATGGTGCCCAGAGAGGGCGGATATGACAAATAACACCATGCGGGGGATTTGCACGATGCTGTCACTTTACACGTTTGGAACTAATTTGACAGTGGGCAATATCTGGACCAAATTATTAATAATAATTTAAAAAATAACAACAAGAACAACAATAACAGTGATTGCTATTATTATAAGTATGTTGTCAAAGTGCAACAAATGCAGAACATAATATGCTTGTTTAGCCATGTGCAATGTTCTACATATATTTGGGGTAGAATAATATGGATTTACAATATAATATTTATAGATAACATTTTATCTTTGTCATAAACTTAAGAGGCATGTATCCTCAATGGCAACTAATTTGCTTGCCTACATGTCTAAAATTAGGAAACCTACAAAGCCATACTAAAGTTGATGCAAATGTGGCAAAAAAAAATAAAAAATCTATAAAATAGCATATGGCACTCTATATTGCTTATTTGCTTTGAAGAAACAGTTGATTTACAGACAGTTACAATACCCATGATCACTGCTGTCAATTCATGACCACAGTTTTGATCAGTCAAGTCAGTGACATTACATGAGCATCAATGCATTCAAATAAATATTCCATTTTAAGTGTATTTTGTTATTGCTAACATTAAAATCTATATTGGGGCTATTATGATGTTTTTATAGCCATAAATGTGTATTATTAACAGACATCAGCACTAATATTGTCAGAGAGGATAACAGTCAGTTTTTAAAGCACATAATGCAGAGGAGTGGGTGTTAAGGGCATGCACAAGGGGATTTCATGGAGTGGAAGGAAAAGCAGCTGTATCAGCGTGTACAAACGTGTACAAACACGCATAATCATACCGTTCCCACGTGACATTTGTCTAGCTAGTACAATATATTATTTCCATTTAAATGGAATTGTTTAAAGCTAATCTATATTATTCCAGTCATATTCAGAGGTTAAATGCTTAGTGCCGACCAATCGGTTTGTGCTGGAAGACCTGCTGTCTTAACAGCACTGAGTCAGATCCCTTCCACAGTGTTAACAGAACGCTAGATGAATGGTTCTAGACAAGTACACTAGATTTAGTAAAACAGGCTGACAGGAAGGTAATGAGACAGGCATAGACTAGCATTCACAAATTCAGCATGTTCATAATAAACATGAATATGCCCACTGGGACAGTGTATATGAAAGAATGATTAACAGAAAAATACAAAATAATGTTTGATCCAGATTCACAGGCAAAATGCAAATATATGTATGCAATTCCACACTCGTAATGAATAAATACACAAAAATAAAAATTTGCTCTTTTTTTAAGCTAACTAAAAACACTCCACATAAGTTATTTTGATACTTGATGCAATCATGCAAATAATTTACTTAAAAAAATACACCAAATATTACAATAAATATAGAACATGATAGGAGGTGGCTTTTATAACCCTGTATTCTTGTTTGTCCTCACAGGTTCCCCTTGCCTGTGTTTTCCTTCATCATCCTCCCACTGCATCAAATGGGTGAAGGTAGGGCTGGAGTTAAAATGGCTGACACAGTGGGCTGTCATTTCAAATGAGCACTAAGTAAATTACTCTCCCTCCATTATCGTAATGAGAAGCCTTTCCCATCGAGAGAGGGAGACAGCAAGGGGAAAAAATGATATTGACCCTTTGGCACACAGACAACATTAGTCTTACTCACCAAGCTCACTTTTTCTGTCTAAGATTAAACACTCAAACGTACAATGCCCGTATGAAATTTTAACTAAGAAGACGTGAATTCACTAGCGATATTCCACATATAAATGCATATATTGACCTAAGCAGTTGGTATATGGTAAACACAGACTTTCTCTCTCATACGTACACACAAGAAGAGTCATGCTCTGGGCACTAGAATGCATGCAATGTAAGTAGCAATCGAAATAAAAAATAGTTTTAAATATTAGTACATTAACACGCACAGACTTTCACACAGAAACAATTCAGAACAGTTAGACAACATACATGAAATTAAATGGCTCCTGATTCCTGCATGAAGATTAGTATATTGAGTTGGACCACAGTCAGAAAGCAGAGACAGCAGACAAGTTCACACGATAACTGGGATAAACTAGCACATGAAATACTGAGTAGATGCAGTAGATACAGAGTGGAGATAAATGTACAGTGAAGCAGCCTTTACAAATTTAAGCCTATAAGAAAACAGGATAAAAACAAAACAAACAAAAATAATAAAAAAGTGGGATCCTGAGGACCAGTGTAAATGAGGGTTTCTAGGTTCCAGTGGAACAGACATGCACGCTCACTGTTTAGAGGTAATATAACTATAACATTTTTTCTGGTACATACATTTGATGACTGTAGCACTTGATAATCTCTAATAGCAGCTTGAATTCTCCTCCTCTACTTATATATAGGAAGATACCACTTATATATTTTGTCACATAATATAATTAATTGGTTGATAAGAATAATATCCGACACAGGAAGGAACAAAAGTGCAACATTCACAAATTTTCATGCCTGCTCTGAGACCGCAATCAAAGAAAAAGCTTTGGCAAACTTTGCCGTTCTGAAAAAGAGACTATTAAGGGTTATGGTCATCAGTTTTCTCTTTCTTTGTTCTACGCTTTCTTACATTTACGTCAGATTTATCTAGAGATCTGTGCAGCGCTCCTGCTTGCTGTAATGGTCGAACTGGCTCTTCCAGTGCATCATGTAGGAGCTCCAGCGATGGAACTCCACTTTCCACTGCCTCTCAACATCATCAATGTTGTCTGGGTAAGAAATATGAAAATGCATATAAGGAAAACAACAGCATGAGGTTTGAGAGAAAGGCAAGTCAAAAGAGTTGATGTGAAGAATGATTTTTAAGAATCCATTAAACTACTCAGACACTTCACTATAAAGTTACCACCCATTTAACAAAGTAGCTGCCAACAGCCCCCACAGGAGAATTTACGATTTTAAGTTACTATAGACAGGCCTGCACAACCCTCCCTGCCCCTACCTAAAAGAGCAAGTGTTTAATTGCTTCATATTCTGGTTCACTTCCAATGTAATAGTTGACAAAAGACATTTGTTTAGATTAGAAGAACAAAAGATACATTTGCACAGACAAGGCATTTCCTTGAGAAATAGCGAATGGTTTATATTATAGCTATTACTGTATGTTCTTTAAACCTCTTTTGCCCACAGAAGGAAAGAAAAAATCAGATAGTAATAATAATAATACAATACAATACAATACATATATATATACTCTGTATTAGGGGTGGAACGGTTCAACTTACTCACGGTTCGGTTTGTATCACGGTTTTAGAGTCACGGTTTCGGTATGGTTCGGCAGGCACGTGCACAGGTAGGGCTCAACCTGTGCAGAGCACATGCCCTTTTTCGCTCAAACTGTCAGTAAACCTCATAACTCCACCCCCTCTATCTTGACTGAATGAACTGAAGTTCCACAGCAGCTGAACTAGGTCTGCAAGGGTAAATAAAGATCTTGTTGTTTGAATAAGTACAGCGTTTTCTTTACGCAAGAAACACTATGTCTATAAAGGCTCATAATTTATGTATTTGAAACTGAGCGCCGCGCCATATAGCTACAACAAACACCTGGTGATGAAAACGTAATGCCGGCGTTTTAATGACGGACAAAATGCACATTTGCACACATTCGCTGGTCAAAAACCCCGTAACTGCATTTGAGTTTGACACAAAGCGACTGAGTGATCCTCGTCACCGGGTAAAATATATTTCTAAGAAATGTATGATTGCTGATATACACTTAATTTATTAACATTATGGCTGTTATTAATAGTGAATAAATCTAAAGCTTTTGAGACTATTATTTTGTGTTATTTCATTTGTCATTAAGGGGGGGGGGCCGCCCTTTTTCAGTTTCAGCACATGCCCCTCAAAAGGTCCTGCACGGCCCTGTGGTTCGGTATGTACTATGTTTAGGCAAAAACTACACTGTCAAATAAAAATAAAGAAAATAAGAATAATCTATCTAACTACAAGCAACAGCACAAATAAATACAATAGAGTAAAGATACAAATAAAATAAACAGTGATTTTCAGTTTTTTTTTTAGGTAGGTCTAATATTAGTTTTTAGGTACAGAAATTGAATAAAATAATGAAATGTAAAACAGCATTGCATATTTCATTGTATAAATGAAAGATTAATCTTTATTAAAAGTTACAAAAGCTATTCAATCAAGAGCAGTGAGTGATTTCGTTGTTGTTGCTGTTTGATTAATATTAAGAAAGTGCTGTCAATTTAAGAGAATGCACTGATACGGGGGGGGAGGAGTTCAGCCGGCTAGGATACTTACCAAGACGGGCATTTTGACATAATTTTTTGTGTGAATTTGTCCATAAACACAATGCTTCAGAGAGAGCTTAATATTTGCACGCGTTCTGAGGCGCCGGTTTGCGCGCTTCGGATGAGCGCACGCACAAGTCTTCTCG